GTCGTTCCACTGTCGTGGGTGCTTATTTTTATTTCTTTGTGAGCCCCAGGAAACATAAAGTTCTACGGGTAATAGGGCTCAGCTCGAAAAAGAGTTACGCGCTTATGTCGGGGGAACGACAATATTCGACTCGGTGCTTGCCTCGATCATGCTCGGCTTTTAGAGGAAAGTGATATGAACACCACTCGGTCACCGTGGTCAACAGGTCACCGAAAAAAAGAGGCTGAAGCGGGAAACCGTTAAAATTCGACGGATAATCCGCTCTAATGATAGCTTAATCAAACAGTGTTCATGATACGGCTTCGCCGCTCACATTGTCGCGTCGAATACGCACCATTGAAAAAACGGACCCACCCGAGCGAGAGAGTAAGTGGTGACAAAACTAATGGGGCTTTTCTCGCTAACCAACGACGTTGTAGTTTTTTTTGATCATTCTAGTTTTGTCTGTTGAGCAATTTAAAGTGAGCAGATCAATGAAAACTAGGTCTGTTCCACACAAAAGATACGATTAACGAACAAATTACCTAAATTTTAAACAAATCAAAAATTATGAAGTGCTCGTCGGAAAATCTAAGCGCCGTAAAAATTTCCGTCTTCATGATTACCTATCTCGGGTTACTTTAAGTTATTTAACTCCTTTATAAACTCCGGCCGTGGAAGGCGTACTTACGTCGACGCCGACATGCCGTCCGCGTTCCGGACTCAGAGGCCGAAAGTTCCAGGCCCAGCACCCGGAACAATCGAAGCCATGGCCGCAGCACCCGAAACTCTCGGCCTCCGATCCCGGAACGGACGGTATGTTTATATGTACAGCCCGTAAATTGTTTTTTTCAGCGCGGGTCAAAAATACTCTCTTTTTACTCTAACTTCGATCGGAGATATGATTTGGATTACATTTTGCAATAAGGAACCACTATCTCTGGTTCTCACATAAAAACACACATGTACATAGGGAAACCAATGGCATGTATGTTATTTCTAAAATGGGCCAGAAATAGTGATCCCTTATTGCAAAATGCAATCCATTTCTTCCGTCCCTTCCACACCACGTAGGGCGAAATGGTTACAAGACAGTGTAAACTGGAATGGAATTAAACTGGATCCCTACGCAATGCAACTTGCTAGCGCCAAAAAGGAACAAGCTACACGGACCCGAGGTCCAAGTCGAAAGCGAGGCCTCCTCCCGGAATGACAACAATGGGAGAGGGCGACGGTTCCCACTTCCCGGGGCGGGGGAGTGGTCAGGGAGCCCCGGCCCCGGCCCCGGTCCGGCCGTTGGGATGTTATGCACAATGAGCTACTTGAGATGAGCTTTACTCGACTTGCTTATCGCGGCTTATCACAGGCGGCGGCGGCGGCGTTCAACCTACTTACGTCTGTGTTCTATGAGCTTTTTATGACGAGCCGTATCGGCCGCCGCATCTGAGACGCCCGCGCTGACGGCCCAACCGCACCCCCTCCCCCCTCCCGCTCCAGACCCATTCCATGTCCACGTCTACTGCACTTAACCGTGTTTTCAACAGTTTCCAGCTGCAGCCATGCACCCGCCGCACAAGCGCCCGCAAAGGCTCTCCTTTGAATTCATCCGGTCTGCCGGATGCTGGGCTTCCAGACCCGTACATTGTATATGTCGCAGGCAAATAGTGAAATCAGGCATTTTCTCAAATGCATAGGCAGTTAGTCAAATTTTGACGGTCTTCAAAATTTTGTGAATTTATGGCGAAGAACTCACGTTTTTTCACTAATTTTGGACAAATAACTCATCAAACTTACGAACTCTTTTTGTCGCTTCCTCTTCAATTGCTTCGCATATTTTTAAATGTTGAAATTTCAAAAATTCTGTATTTTGCAACATGCTGAACGTTTCAAGAACAGTGTCTCTTCAGGAGCTAAAAATTGTTTAAAATACTATTGTGTGTGAACATTTTTACTGAGTTTTTTCTTGCTGGAGCAATGAATTATTTTGTCTGAAATTAGGTAAAGAAGCAGAATTTCAATCTAAGTTAGAATATTTGACTATTTGCCTAGGGATTTTACAAAATGCCTGATTTTACTATTTGCCTGCGACGTATACAATAAAAGAAACTAACCGAGATTCTGTGTAAGTATGGCATGTAGAATAAAACGGGAGGCGAATCATGCGGTTAATATTTTATGTTAAGTTTTTCTTTGGGTAGCATTTACATAATTATTCACGGAAAAAAACAACTTAGTGCTGAGCCCTGACTGTTAAGATCGAATGTAGTCAGCTAATAAGGTAGTAGCGCTGAGCCCTACAACTTTAGGGTCCAGCTCTAAAAACTTTAGGTCTCATCACTACGGCCTTACTAGCTGGCTCCATTTGATCTAAACAGTTAGGGCTCAGCACTAAGTTGTTTTCCCGGGGTTGTTTTACATTGACCATATCATTGGGTTGAGAATTTGCAACTGCGCCAATATCAGGCGCAAACCGCCAGAATCTACCCTGGATCGCACTGATGGTAGTCTAATGCGCTAGACATCCGCGGATCGCAACCTCTGCTGAGTGATAACGAGAGAAATAAGTGTACAGGAAGCGTGAAATTAGCTCCGCAGGACACTCTCTTCATCCTCATATGTCTTAGAATAACTTGCGGTTTCGGTTGATTTAACCATAAATTTGGTCGATCGATTAAGTCCTTTTGGTTGATCCGATCAAGGAATCATACGAAAGCACTATTAATAAATTGTCTGCAGCGTGTTTTTATAAAATCCCCGTATCTTGAACCTTGTGTTTGGTATCATAACCAATTTTTTACATCCATGAATCCCTTACTAAGTATGTCGAACATGCATAATGTTAGATGTTCCAAACTGTCAGTTAGGTTTTTTGGCTCTTAGAATCATAAAAGTCGCTTCTACAGTGCACTGCGGCTCTCTACGACACTCAAACGTAACAGTTGTCCAAAGATTATCGGGAAACGTCGAGCCGATCATTAAATATTTAAAGCAGCCCGATAAGACATCGAAATGCGATACCTATATTGCATGGTAAACATGGGGATATGTCTTGTCTTGTTGTGTTGATGAAGGCTAAGTCTCTATAATCGACCCGCTAAAATCTTAGAATCTCTTTGTCGACGCCTTTTCACCACCTGTTCCATTCTTTTTTCACTGTAGTCATGGAAATATTCACTGAAAAAAAAGAAGGAGAAGAAAAAAAACTCCGGCCGTGGAAGCCGAACTTACGGGTATATTGGCATACCGTCCGTGGTCCGGGCTCAGAGGCCGAAAGTTCCGGATTTAGCACCCGAATCAGCTGAAACTACAGTTCTAGCACCTGGAACTTTCAGCTCCTGAGCCCGGTGCGGGCGGTACGTCTAAAAAGCCCGTAACTTTTTCCAGTGTTCCGGAAGGTTGCAATCAGAGTCTAGTGTGCGGCATGGCGCCACGATGAATCGCTTTATCGCCCATCTCCCGACCTGAGGTAACTTTATCCGCAGTTGCCGTTACAAGTCTCACGGTTGTACCCGCGGTCAACAGGCCGCAGCCGTGGTTTCGACCGGGAGGGACGGAGGAGGCGAGGGCAATACAGCATGAGTAAAGCAGACAGGAGAAATTAGGGGGAAATTAGAGCAAATCATTAGGGCAATCGACTTGAGTATTGCACGAGTTTTGTTCGGATGGCTGAGGCGTGTACTTTCCTGGTGATCCCGACGAACAATACGCCATGCTCTGCATTAATTAAAGGATCTTACCCACGAGATCTCATCGATTCTTTCCGAAATTCAGAGCAGCGGGCTGATTGTTGAAATTGATAGACAAAGCGATAGATAAAGAAGACGTAGAAAGTATGGTGCGATCCTATTGGTTGAAATGGGTGATTCTTACAGACTATAAGGGGGTAAATGATCAGCATAATAAATCAGCAGCGGGCTGATTGTTGAAATTGATAGACAAAGCTATAGATAAAGAAGACATAGGAAGTATGGTGCTATCCTATTGATTGAAATGGGTGATTCTTATAGACTAAGAGGGTAAATGAAGGAGTAAGTAAAAGGGTCGATCGTGGGTTGCCGTTAGTTAGTCTATTAACTACCTTTTTTGTCCATTGCAATCATCCGCTTCCACCAATAGGATCCGTCCATATTCCTTTTGTCTTTTTTGCCTATAGCTTTGTCTACCAATTTCAAGAATCAGCCGGCAGGAAAGCCTCGACGTTCTTCAAGAGCGATAAACTTATGACAGGAGAAAGTTAAAATCGGATATACTACCAAAATTCGTCGTTTTCCTTACGGAGGAGCGTAACTACGCTCAAATGTTAGCTAATTTTCCGTCCGAGAATCACATTTTTACCAGGAGAATCTTATACATTTTTTACTGAAAATTTCACCGATTTTTCCTCCATCCTGTCCAAAAATCAGCAAAATTTTGGACGAAAATTGCACAAGTACATTCTCATATGCAATTGAATTTTTCAAGTTGATTTAGCAACCTTGGAGTGGAGTTATGCGTTCCTTTTTGTCCGGAAAACGACGAATTATTTGTATTTTGAGCGACGGATGATTCGAGAGGACCTTTTTTCAAATATATTTTTACTGAGTTTTACCACAGCAGAAGCTGATTTGCAATGTCTGACACCGCCGATCAGCAAATTAAGGTGCTTCCAAAAGGTGCATCTTACAAAATACAGGGCGTTTCAAAGGCAAGAGCATATCTTAAGGACCGATTTTTCAGGTTCATCGATGTATGATCCACGACTCCGTCATTCATAAGTTTATTTTGTGCCCTTGAGTGAGGGTGAAGCTTTCAATGTTTTTTTAAAAAAATATTGCTTTGTTTACGGAATGATATGAAATTGGGTTCACTTAGGGTGTTTTGATCCTTTATTTCAGTTTACGGCTGTGGAATAGCAAGAATATAAGGGAATGTAACTCATCTTAGCCCCTCCCCCTCCAACAAAAGTAAAAATATCACCCCACAAAATTGTCTTTTTTAGACGTCGGTATACCCTTCGGAGAGAATCAAAATGAGAATAAAAAAAGGCTTTTAAAATTGTGTAATCCTGAATGAATTCATTGTCAAGAACAGGAATATAAACATTCAATCACCCTGAATATTTGTTCTCATCGAGAATACTATACTGATGACAAGGTTACCTTGCCACATTTCTGAAGGAAACAGTTGATGTAAAATTCCTGCTACGTTTTAATCGTTTAAAAAGTAAATTAGAGAGGATCGTATGTTCCGGCTGTCACAACCCATTCCGACCATATGTAGTTGACACCACGTAGAATTTTGAAGATTTTTCCGTCGGCCCAGTTGTCCCACGAGTTGACCGCCAGCCAGTAGGGCAACGTTTGGTTCCCTACCTCTTCTTTACCCCAACCGATGATTTTGAAGTACTTATCCCATGCCACGATGGTTGTGTTGCCTCCCTTCCAGTACCACCCTGAAACAGCGGAATGTCTGGTTGTATCTATCGTAGGCAATTAGTCAAATCAGTTTGCAGTTTGATTCATCAGTTGATAGGTACTTGAACCGAACTTCGGGCCCTATGGCTGAATACTTCAATGACCTGGCTCGAAAATTTTGGTGTGTAAATTGACCGAATTTTTTTTCTCTTTGTGTAAACTTCCAAACAGAAAGTTTTTTTTAAATGTGATTTAAAGCAAAAATGGGTTGAATTCATAATATATATTTGTTAAAACTGGCATTTTCTCGAGTGAAAGTGCATACGTGTTACTTTAGTTAGACTCTAATCTCACTAGCAAACGTGCGTGGTATTTATGAGGGCTGTGAGCATCATGATATTTCGTTTCTCTGAATGTTCAATTGATTTTTCTTAATAATGATCAGTTCTTTGACCCCAAGATGTATATACTAGAGAATATTTGAGTTTGTGCACTTTCGATGCGGTGATTGAGGATTACCCTAAAACTGAAAATCTTGAAATAAAATATGAGTCCCATGTTTTACCTTTTTTGTGATCGAACCAGTCGCTGTACATAATTATACTTGAAACAACGGGTCCGTTGGCGAAAATTTCACTCCTAATCTGATACTCATTCGTAGATGTAAAGTAATAAGTCGTGACTGGAAAACAAATCGAGAAGAAATAATTAGAAAAAAGTCATTCTTCTAGAATGAAATCGCTCGACAATCTGCTGATAGTAAGTGCAAAAATGCAGATGAATAAGACGGACGCAGGTGATAGGAAAGATTGAGATCGATTCTCCTTGGGATAAACGAAATTTTCTGGTACGATATTTTTCAGTTTTAAACAAGACGGGTTTTTGGTGACTTTGAAATTTGATTAAATGAAACATGAACAAATGCAGATTTTCTCATTTTTTACATACTTTAAAAAATTAACTTTAAAAACACGCAACAGCTCCATTCCTTCATATTCAAAGCAAAATAAAATTGCGAGCACGAAAAAGTGTGATTTCGTGCTAAAGAGTTGAGTTGAGAAAAAATGAACAATAAATCTTCATGATTGTTGAATGTATCTACTCCAATGAAAGAAGCATACAATTAGTCAAGAATAAGACGAAAGCATAACTTACATTTTTTGAAATCTTTTTCAAGAGGCGTCTTGTATTTTTTATTCGTGCATTTAGTCGCACAATCATGATCGTATGGCATCTCTTGGTCGCATGGCTTCACTTTACCCTTTTTGTGTACCTTCATTTCTTGCTTGTGTTTTGGCGAACTTATGTACTGAGTGATCGTATGCTTGCATGGGGCGTGTTCATATGGTAAACATCCCTGTTATGGACAAAACAAGTAAACTAGTTCAATATTGATTAGTCCACCTGGCACGGTCGATACGAAATATAAAGTTTGCGGCGCGATCTTAGGTCGACGGTAGGATGCAACTATTCAAGCTCCATGGACGTGCGTGTTGCATACCTAAAAACTGAAGGCGCTTCGGTCCTGTTTGCCCTTTAAGTGATGCACAAAGACACGGCTGCATATGTGTTATTCTTTACATTCCTAAAATTTCTCCGATTCTTTTCGGGAGAGCGCATGTTCGGTAAATGCCCGGGCGACCCGAGATACGTTATTTTGGAATTAGATCCAAGGTACATGTTTTAAACTGTTAATTCATTGATATTTATGATTTTTAACATCACCACCAAAACTTGTGATTAGGTTTCGCTCTTAAGACAGTCAGTTTTTGTAAAAAGTAATAAGTATTTAATAAGGGAGAGAGGAATGTCTCAAAAGGGGGCAAAAAAAAGAAAAAAAAATAATTCATCGCAAAATAAGTCCATTTAAGAACTTCAGTGAATACGCATTTCTCTCAAGTTCTCTTCTCAAAAAGCGCTTCGCTCTCATTTCACCAAGTCTTTAAACTATTGCGGAATTTACTCACTGAGTTAGATTGGTGTTTACCACCGGTCGGTGTGCCAACTTGGACAGCGTTTTTCCAGGCAGGCCAGATATTCGGGCTCTTGGTGCAGAAGACGGAACAGCCAGCATGGTACTCAGAGGAAAGTTTTTCCTTGTAGGTGCCGTTCGTGAAAATACAATATCTGTCCGTTGCAATCGCTGACACAACGACATGCTGTTTTCAAACCAAAAAAGGAAAACAATTTTGAATCAAGAATATTGTGCTGCATTGAAAGCTCAGAAAAAAAGGAAAAAAGAAAAGGAAGAAATCATAGGGATTTGAAAACATTCGCGTAAATAGTTTTGGAGGATTTTAGTCAGGAGTCCCCTCATTGTTTTTTGCTAGTAAAACTTACCTTCAGGATTTCGTTAATCAATCCTTTATCTAAGTGGACTACATTTAATTGCAACCAGGAGCTACAATTTCCTTCTCAGTTTAGTAATAACGTAAGTGCCATTAGTTTCTTCACGCATACAAGTGTTTCTTAACGGATGAGCCAGGAATTACAGTTCATATTTGCAAATGTGGCCCAAAACATACTCCGATTTACAGTTTACGCGTTTCAATGATGGGCCCAATTAGACCCTGAACCTGTCTATGGTTGCTTTCTCATTGGACATAGCTGTAGGCGGATCCACCCACTTCGAACGGGAGGAGCGGGAGTGGGGTCGGTGGGCTTCATCCACAAAATTTTCGAAATTTCAATATTCATCGAATATTTGGTTTCAGTCAATTTTGTCATGAATTGTTAACAAATCTGAGAATCCCTCTTTCTTCTTTTCTCAGTCCCTTCCTTCTTTCTTTCTTACCATTTTTTGCTTTTTTTTTCGGACAAATGGGGGTGACGCACGCCCCCTCCGCCCCCTCCCTGGACCCACCCATGGACGCAACAAGTGTTGCACCGAACAGCTGAACTTCATGAGAGAACTTCATTTCAGATATTTCCCGCACTGTCGAGGAAACTCTGCGTAATGCATACGACAACTTCGCTCTGACCTTATAATCACCAACACGCGGCTATACTCGAAACTATTCACCGCGGATTCATCTTTACACGGAGAAAAAAAACTTCGTGCGTGGGACCCGAAGTTGAGGTCGTATGGATCCCTGAAGTTTTCGGATCGCGCATCCGAAAACTTGAGATCCAGCTGCCGAAGTTCGGGTCAAACATCTGAAGCATTTCAGTATATATTGAAGTACTTCAGACGTGTGAACCGAACCCTTCGGTAAGTACCGGAGTACTTCAGATGTTTGCCCCGAACTTCGTCAGCTGGACCTTAAGTTTTCGGATGCGCGATCCGGAAACTTCAGAGATCCATGACCTCAACTTCGGGCCCCACGCACGAAGTTGAGGTCGTAAGGATCTCTGAAGTTTTCGGATATCTTCGGTTTCGTGTATCTAAAAACTTGAAGTCGAGCTGCCGAAGTTCGGGTCAGACATCTGAAGTACACCGGATTTCCTCAATTTAAACCTATGCTAAATAATCGATTCTTGTCGGAGCACCTGGCCTTTCCAAGAATCGATACATTTCCATAGGTATAAACGGAGAAAAGAAAATGTTGCCAATTTACTATACAGAGAAAAAAACTTCGTGCGTAGGACCCGAAGTTGAGGTCATATGGATCTCTGAAGTTTTCGGATCACGTATCTTAAAACTTGAGGTCCAACTGCCGAAGTTCGGGTCAGACATCTGAAGTACTTCGATATATACCGAAGGGTTCGGGTCACACATCTGAAGTACTCCGGTACATACCGAAGTGCCTCGATGTCTGGCCTGAACTTCGTCAGCTGGACCTCAACTTTTCGGATGCGGGATCCGAGAACTTCAGCGATCCGCACGACCTCAACTTCGGGTCTCAAGCACGAAGTTTTTTTTCTCCGTATATATACCGCGTCCGTGAAGCAAGCTCCTTCGTCGTCGATGTCGCTGAACAAGTGTGCGCACTCCTTGTACTTATCCCTGATGTCGAACGTCTGCGGGACGACTGTTGGCCAGCGCGTGTCGCCCGTTTTGCGGATGATGTGCGTGGCGCCCGGCTCGATGTGATTCCTCAACTTCTCCCGCACCATCTCCTCCGTGACCTCCATCTCCGGGTGCATCTTCCGCAGGGACGCCGTTCCCTTCTTCACCATCGACTCCACGCTCTCCAGCTCGAACTGAAACCAGGCACGAAAAAGTAGAAACACGAAAATCATTGGCGGATCTACACGGAGACAAAAACTTCGTGCATGGGACCCGAAGTTGTGGTCATATGGATCTCTGAAGTTTTCTGATCACGCATCCGAAAACTTGAGGTCGAACCGCCGAAGTTCGGGTCAGACATCGAGGCACTTCGGTATGTACCGGAGAACTTCAGATGTGTGACCCGAACCCTTCGGTACATATCGAAGTACTTCAGATGTCTGACCCGAACTTCGGCAGTTGGACCTCAAGTTTTAAGATACGTGATCCGAAAACTTCAGAGATCCATATGACCTCAACTTCGGGTCCCACGCACGAAGTTTTTTTCTCCGTATAGTAAATTGGCAACATTTTCTTTTCTCCGTTTATACCTATGGAAATGTATCGATTCTTGGAAAGGCCAGGTGCTCCGACAAGAATCGATTATTTAGCATAGGTTTAAATTGAGGAAATCCGGTGTTGCCAAACTGCTGAATCCGCCTCTGCCGCAAAGAAAATGAGGAGAGCACAACAAGAGACAAGGAGAGACACTCATTTAGTATCCTCTCGGTGACAGGTGGAAACTTTTTCTTACGGGGATTCAACACTCCCTTATAGACAACGTGAACGTATTTATGGTAAAAGAAAGCAGAGATGGTTGGAAAGATGGAGTGTGCTTGTTAGTTGACGGCCGTAAGAATGAATGGGAACTTAGAAGGCACCAGTGACGTCACTAGGGACGACGGGGACGAGGGGATTCAAGTTGACGTCATTTAACTCCTGAGCCCTGTCCATTGGACGCTTTGGTTCAGCTGTAGCAAGCTGTATACACTTTAAACAACACAGGGTGAGAATGGAACAATGCTCGATTGAGTAGTTTACTAAAGCCGTTGTAGTGCGCGATTTGATTCGCGTGGGGCATTGTTTTTCTATTGGTTTTCTTTCAAATTCCCCATTACTAATTTACTATAAAAATGTTAATTTCCAAGCAGGAAGTTGATTTTAGAAGTTTTCGTCGCGCGAATCGTGGTTTACGTGAAATTCTGGAGAAGAATCATGTATGGAAGAGCTTAAATTTGTACCTTGTTTAATGGTTCATTCAATCTAAAAAAGTGAATGTAGAGAACTTTCCTAATTTTTATCGGAAAATATATTTTATCGGGAGGTTTTTATCCAACATTGGAATGCACATACGGCGTCAAAAGACAACGTGGGCCTTTCAAGCCCCATTATCCGATGCCGCAATTATCCTAACGCGAGTTCGGATGATCTCGCCGCCAAACACGGTGCGGCCCGCGTTAAACGCATATAATAAGCGCCTGCAAAACTGCATGAATACTTCTCGCATTGCGCCAAACGCAGTGCAGTCGGTCAGTTGGCGCGTGGAGCGCATATCAGCGCCTAAAATACTGTAGGGATACTTCACGCATTGCACACACAGCACGATGCGCGCTCATTTTACCTAACACCCACGATGCAGTGGACACAATATTAAACTGAGATACAACGCAAGCCTGCAATCCATGAGGGATTGTGGAGATTTCCCTGCTCTCTGTTAACTTTCCAATCATTAATTATCCCTCATTGCACCCCGTCCACACGCTGTCTTAACATGCCCACGGCTCATAGGTTAGCATATTTTGGCACTTAGTTTCTTTTGATTTAATTGAAAATCCCACTTTTCCATTATGTCAAAGGGAACCACCACTTTTACATTGTTTCTTATACAGCTTCCTAGAGCACACCCTATCTTTCTCACCCGTCTCTAGTTCCTTTTAGCATAAATACGTCCAATTATATTGGAGTCATTGTAATCTTTCCTACTTTATGAATGATGAGCTTCGGGTGACATGGGCCTTGCAAAATGAAATACTCCACTCGTTGTCAAGCATACATCTAATAGGTAGGCAAAAGGTTGAATTTTGGAGTCCCAAAAGTAAATGCTTCGACCATTGCTAAGATACCCATTGAGGGTCTCTGTTTGTCTCTGAGTATAACGAAGCTAGACTCATTAATTTTTTACCAAATGCCACTTCCTGAAGAAATTTTTGACTCGAGATTAAATTATCGACATCAACAGAGAACAAGAGAGGCCTCAATTATCCTCTTGGTGAGAGGTGGAAACTTTTCATTTCGGGGATACAACACCTCCTCACGGACAATGATAATGTAGCAACAGTCATCTCTATTTTTTCGGCTGCTGACCTACCTGCTAGGTAGATGAAAAGCTTCGATTGATGTAACGAGCCAGACGAGTTTGCCAAAATTCGGCTTGTTCGATTACTCAAAGCATTGTGGGTAGGTCGACAGTTGAATGTTGTAGTTCTGAAAGTTAAAGTTTCCTTCATCGCCAAGGTACCGATGGAGAGTTCCTCTCTGTCTCTGGTTGTTAAATATGGAAGAAGATTTACAAATTTTTTGTAACAAAAATATTCCGAAACATGTCAACTCAAACGGTGCTAGGGATAGAAGGGCAGGGGACCGGAAAGTCCTATAATGGGAGCTTTTCAAGCGGCGACCCCGCGACCTCTTCCCCATTCCTTCATGAAAAAATTCTGGTTACGCCACTGTCATGAGTAAGAGCGCTTCAAAGTTTTTCGATAAAAAAATGCGTTTTCAGCAAATTATAGTTTATGTTTAGTGTAACTTTTTAAAACTCATCTCTCCATTAGAAATGCCCCACCCCCTTGTTCCATTTCCCCTCGTAAAATAATAAAAATATATGCGGACCATGAGGTTAAGGTCTGTTCTACTTACGGACCAAGTTGGATGCTTTTTCATTAATTCTGATATGCTTTCCATGCTAGTAACATCCTGAAGGACCATCAAAAGCAGAAACGGAACCGCCCTCAACATTTTTGACACTTTTATACTTCCTCTGCAACAAACAATTGTAATTTTCAACCAAACAATTAAATCATAGCAAAAGTCGCATGAGCATAAAATTTAGTCAAATGTATTAACAAAAAAAACTTACAGTCCAAAAATTACAACTTGTTCCCTTGTAAAAATAGTATATAGACTACGATAAACATCAGAAATTTCCATGAACTGCCCTTTAATAATAGGCCTGCGTTTTTGTTTACGTTTAAATCAAACTTTCCACCTGCAATAAAACCCAAATTGGAGTAGGTCCAATCAGCCGTTTTACAAAAACGCATCGGCAAGCATAAAATTTTCGTTACAACAATTTTTTTAATCGCAACAACGCATATTTTGGTTTTTTAAATATGTAACTACTTTCCTCTGGCATAATGATGCAAATTTTTATGAAAATTTTCTTTTTTTGAAAAATTTATAATCACATTTTGAAATTGTGTGGAAAAAATGTGGGACCCTACGTTTTTACGAAAACATCAGCATGGATCTGCGTCCCAAAAAATCCGACATTGGAAATGAATTCATGCAATAGGGAGGTAAATTAAAAAGTCCAAAACGACGAGAAAATTATTTTATCCTTAAGCATAAAGAAAATCGTTTTGACAAACTTTTGCCGAAACAACATGACTCAGGCTGAGTTTAGCTCAACGTCGAACGAAAGTTTGAACCAACGAGCATAAATGAAAATCCTTAATTTTTCTTTGAGGCGCAATGTTCTGACATTGTCAATGTGTTCTGTTCACAAAATTTTCCGAAAAGTTTTGATAAGAGGGTACGTAATTTTCGCTGATGAGTTTTGCCTGGTGGTTTATTACGTACATCATATTTTTTTTTTTTTTGAAAATCTTCCAGGAATTTTTGACTTTACTACCTCTTTTCTAAATTTAAAAGTCCCGCCATCAGCGTTGATGTGCCATTCATTTTATTTCTTTTGCTCTAAAGCATTTTGGAATGTTTGCACTAAGCCCTCAAAAAATAACCTTGGCTTTTGTTAAAATGATGACATAATTCTCTAGTTTTTGGCGCACCATCGAATGTTCAAGGAAAGTGAGTTTTTGACAAGAGGTTCATTCGAGGAAAAATCCTCAAGTTATCGATTTCCAACGCACTGCTATGGTGACGTCGATAGAGATTAAACTGGATTAATCTCTTCAGATATTTCAGCACGTTTCATAACCGGCTGTTCGGATTGTCAATTCATTCTTGACTTCTGTATGTGATTCAAGCGTTAGCTGAAACTGTTGATTATCTAAATTTCTTAAGCTATACAGCTTAAGCTTAGCTTAGCTTATGTATTGTGGACTTCTTAATGAACTATCAGGTGTAATCTGTGTGCGCTTTTAAGCTATTGACATGGGTAAGGCCAATCATACTCCGGAAAATCCGTAAGAGGAACACCCAAGCGGAAAAATGTCAAAAACTGACGAATTGCTAAAAAAATCAGCATTAATTACGCTTTAGTTGAAAATTCAATCCCAAAGCGCAAAGCAATTGTTCGTTTATAATCAGCAAATTACTCTCAACGATGCGCTCTCGTTGCAATGTTGTAAAAAATTCTTAAAGAAATTGATTACACTGAAAGGGAAAATCGGGGGCTAATGGCTTTATTCAGACAATTTTAATTATAAACTCATGTTTCCATTAAGTTTCCTATGAGGGAGGTTCACCATCGTGGCAACATTGGAAGACTTAATTTCATCGACTTTTTTTTTGACAGTTCAAATCTGAATATGTTGGAATCCACTGCCAAAGACATCACAGAGACTGAGGACTGATTAATAGGAGTTCTCATTCATGACTATAAACAGTCAATGCAAACAAAACAAAAAAATAAAATAAGAAAATAAATAAATAAAAAAAATTAAATTGTTTGAAAACTTACGTCTCTGCGCTTTTCAGGTGAAAACTTTGATTGATACTGTCACCACTTTTAATGATCTGGTATTTTCCGTAGGGCAAAAAAACAAGCGTGCCCTACGATTTGATACTACTGAATTTTCAGTATTTTTTATTGTGAATCATTTGGTTGTTATCTAAACCCGGATTTAGATAAAATTGAATCGTTCATACTGCCATTTTACGTCAAAACATCGAGAGACACTTGAGAGTAGTTCTCACTTCAACCTATACTTTCCTCTTTTTATTTTAAGTGATGTACAAGTTGCACTAAGAAATTGTGAGGGTCCTACACTGCACCTTACCTAATTTGCGTAACTTTCATGTCACAATGAGAAGAAAATATCTGGTGAAACATGATAGACAAAGCGATAGAAAAAGAGAATACAGCCGGTGTAAGTTTGCAGCCACGTATCTCGTTTGCGGTGTTTGAAAATATCCGCCTCCGTATTATTTTTTTAAAGGAGAACAAATTGACATCATTCCTTGAAGTTTTTGCAGAATTTTTTTCGCACAGAGAAGGAAAATCACGGCAGTTTTAAAGAATTGCCGTTGAGTAGTTTTCCGTTTAAAAAATAAAGTATGACAGGAAATCTCCGACGTCGCAACCTGAGATACGTGGTTGCAGATTTAAACCGTCGATTTGGAGCGATCCTATCGGTGAAAGCGCTAGTTGCAATGGACAAAAAAGGTAAGTAATAAACTAACAAACAGCAACGAGAGACCCTATAGGCCCACGAAGACCCTTTTGTCCTCTTTTTCTATTGCTTTGTCTATCGATTTCAATAATCAGCCCGCCGGGCGATCTGTGACGGGTGACGGACGCAGCGTGTGTGTTCTTAATCAAGTTATCAAAACCGATCATAATGATGGTTATTAGGGGAGCAATCAGGCCTGGCTCCCGGCTAACGGGATCTCCATCGCGGCTTCAGCGGCCGGGGCTCCATCGATCGGGTTAGAAATGTGACAAGTGGCCACCGCTGATCAATGACGGATTGTTGCGCCCCCCGGCAACGCTCGCCACCAACGCTTAACGCCAGGCGCCTTCGACTAGGCCGCTCGCGCTCGTGCGCCCATCTACAGGCTCTTTCATTCGTCCTCGTTCACTCGTGGAGCCACGTTTGAAAAATAGTACATGCCAGGAAGTACGCTCTCTAGCCACTATGTGGAGAGATCTTAGTGGAAAAAGTGTCCATCCATAATGGAGATGTTGCATGTGTGAAGGATTTGCGATTTGACTATTGAATATTATGTATAAGTTTGCGAAAAACACGATGGTACCACTGGTTTTCTCTGAAATCAACTCCCAAGCTCAAAAAAGCTCTCAAGTTGAGGCCAAAATGGAGGGGATATCCCACGCTATCCTGAGGGTCAACCTCTACATAAAAAAAAAAACTCTCCATGTAAAGATGGGGAGCAAGTACATTAGCAGGGTTGCCGTGTTTTCAGTTTTGGAGTCCCCAAATAAAGTGGCAGCCCTGTCAATGTATTTGCTCCCTATCATAGCATGGAGCGTTTGTCTTGATGTAGAGGTGGACTCTCAGGATAGCGTGGGATATCTCCTCCATTTTGGCTTCAACTTGAGAGCTTTTTTTGAGCTTGGGAGCTGATTTCAGAGAAAACTAGTGGCACCATCGTGTTTCTCGCGAACTTTTACGTAAGAATGAATAGTCAAATCGCAAATTCCTCACACATGCAACATCTCCATACTTACAGTCTGCGGAAATATTATCGTCGACGGTAAAGTGGGGAGTCAGGAAAGGGTCAATATCTCGCTTTGTAAGGGCGTGATTTAAGCACAAGTTGAGGGAAAAAGCTGCCATAAAGAGTAATTTATCGAGGAGACAGATGTGAATTTCCAAAAAATCTAACAGGGTTATAAAATTTGCAACTATAATCAGATGCGTGAAAATGAACCGAGTTCGAATGCGCCAAGTTTGAACCGAGAGAGGGAAGTTTGAAATGTTGCTTCTCCACGAGACTCCATGTTAAGGGACATGTTCAATATATTTCATTCTGACTTCGAATTTTGAACAGGAGAGAATGTGTGATTAGATGGATTACATACCATTTCCGACTGAGTTTTTTTTCTAATATGGGACTTGGTGCGTTTCTGTTAAACCAGGCCAAATTTAGAGTTACTTAAATTAATACAAAAATTAAAGAATAATTCCAATCCAATTCTACCCCAAAAAGCATTTTAAGTTTTGAAGATGTCCAAAAATTACTTTTCACGTAATGTCAATCAATTAGTTATCAAATTCATCCTCCCCAGTTATTTTTCTCAAAATTGTTTGGCAGTATTTGGTTGTAATGATTGTCCGCACTTCTCATTAAAATACAAAAATAAATGAATATCCATCTGGCTGACCTTTTCCATTTAATAAAAACCCAAACGTTGGTACCAGGATCACGTGCAACTTATTAAAAGCTCCAAAACTAGGTGAACATGAATTTGAAGTTACTAAAAGTATTAACACAATTCTACACGACGAATCTACACAATTTCTCTCAGTTTTACGGAATGTACAAATATGCTGCATCACCCTGTATATCCTGCCAGGGGGAGCGAGTAGCGATCGGGAATGGGAAAGCGCCTTCAATTGACGCCTCCGAAACCCGTAATTCATGAAATTGATCCACTCATAAATGGATTACCACCTCCATTAATAGCACGCATACGCCTTGTCTTCCGCTAATTGCGTCCATGATACGCACTTGCATCCTTCAACTATCAATCCAAGTTCTGTTTACCGTCAAATTGCTAATAACCTTAACTTGCGCACCGGCATATTTGGTTGTGACTCTTACTACCTGTCTACAGATCTCTCGGAAATATTTGAATTTCAACGTCACCGAAAAAAGGGCATTTATCTACCCAAAAAGTATTAAACGAAAAGTAATAAGGTAAATTAGATGAAGCATTGTGATGGACATAAAGCGTGCTTTTTCAATCGACTCCATTCCTCAATTATGTCAATTTTATCTCTACCAATTATATGCTACTAAGTTAAATAAATGTAGCTGCACAGAATTTTTTTTAAATATTTTATTTATTTATTGATTATTTTAATAATTTTTTTTTAAAAAAAATGTAATGTGTAAAAATTTATAAGCTTATTTGTTGAGGAATAAAATCAAAATTAAGACTCTCCTTCCATTTTATAATTCTATCATTAAGTCGGAAATCGTTTCGACTTCCTCTTTTTCTCAATTTCTGTTTTTTTTCTTTCTTTTTTTTTTTGGAGGAAACGTTCTTCTCCTCCAACATATATGTTCAAGGGTGTTGACTCTATGGAGGGTTCCAAGTTTTTAAACCTAGGGCTAAAACGGTTAAATTCTAGTGTGATCCAAACTCTTCCAGGACTTCCACCGACCTTGCGTCCATTAAATAATTGTCCACCGCTGTTCATGTCCACTAAACTTTAAGTCCACATGATTTAATGTCTAACCATGAATAAGTCCAAAATTGTCCAAATTGTGGACATGTTATGTCCACATTTTTTACTTCTCATTTAAATGACAGGAACCACCTCAAAAATAAATGCATACTACTACTAGTTAGTTCGTTAGTATATTTTGAGACGTTCAACATCACAGGCTATTAACGTCTTTACAGAGAATTTTGAAAATGGAAGTATATACGAAAATTTAGATTTTTAAATTAAGAGAGGTGAAGAGTTCCTTCATTCTTAAAAACATTTCATTCATGAATCAAGTCATAAAAGGGTTAGTTAGTTATTATAATTTTAAGACATTCAGCGTCTCAGGCTATCAACGTCTTTACAGATAATTTTGAAAAAGGGAGTATAAACGAAAATTTAGATTTTTAAATTAAGAGAGGTGAAGAGTTTTAGAATTTTGGTGGTGATCAGACTCCAAGAGCAGATAAAAACATATGTTCATGTGTACACTGTACGGATATGATAAGATGAAAACCAAAGCGGGAGCCTAGGAAACGCTTCAGTGCCAAATTAAACATTTTTCAGTAACAGATGCAGTCAAAATTGAAAGTCCTCTTCAACTAGTTATTTCGTGCGCCTTCAATCTTGTAGGATAGTTAGTTAGTTATTATATTTTTAAGACATTCAGCGTCTCAGGCTATTAACGTCTTTACAGATAATTTTGAAAATAGGAGTATAAACGAAAATTTAGATTTTTAAATTAAGAGAGGTGAAGAGTTTTAGAATTTTGGTGGTAAAATTAGGTTCATCGCATGTAAGAGGGTTTGTTCTTCTGTTGATTGTAGGGCAGTAGATCTGTGATTGGAGATATCGGAGGGAAGAGCAGTCCATAAGTATGTGTTTTGTGCAACGCCTCTGACGCGAAATAGTTGCTTATAGCGTTGCGGCGCGGCAGGCAACCAGCGTGACACGCGCATAGGCGCCTACAAACCTAACGGGATACTTCACGCGTCGCGCAATGCGTGAAGTATCCCGTTAGGTTTGTAGGCGCCAGTGCGCGTTCTGTGCTGCTATCACGCCGCTCCGCTTTGTGTTAGGCTCTAATATTTAAACTCGCGGAGTAAGCGTTTTTAAACTCATGATTTTGAAATGTTTGCACTCTCTGCATTGATTATTCCCTTTTAAACTGGTGCAAAAGAAATATATACTACTGGAAAATATAATGTGGTTTTGTTAAATACAATAGTCGTTCTGTGTCAAATTTAATGATTTCCAAAGCATTCTAATTTATTATTTTATGTTTTGGGCTTTTACTGTGCTGCAGCGTGGTGTAAGCGCAACTAAACGCTCAAAATTGGACGTATTTGACTCAAGAAGGTCGATGTACAAATAAGTTAAAAAAAAAAATTGCGTGCTTCTTAGTTTTTTTCCTCTTTTATTAATTTTTGTATAGTTTCTTTCATCACAACTACGGCTCATTGAGATTCATATAGATGCTATTGCTTGGAAAAAGTTTTACAAATATTTACCACGTTTTAAAATGTAAATGTTTTTAAAATGAAGTAATCAATTTCATTTAAAAAAAAAATGTGAGAAGAATTTATAGCATATTTTATATCGGAAATTTCAATGATAGAAATGAAACCAAGGATTTACCAAAGACAATTTGAAAATATGAATCAAAAAAAGAAATTAACATTTCGTTTAAAATATGAGTCACGATAATAACACCTCATTCTC